AGATATTAGAAGAACTGGAATTAGGAGAAGACAAGGAAGATAATTAGCTTGATAATATACTTGTTACTTCTTATCACATTTACATAATTTATACTACTTAATAATATAACTAATACTTATTTTCATGCAATTAATTGAAAACTACACATTAAAAGTATGAGGTACGTACTTCTAAATTTCAAAGGCAAACTACTCTTGCAACCAAGACCTATTTTCATGCAATTAATTGAAAACTAGCCACTAACACCTAAGTTGACTAATTATTTCTATTAATTTAATAATTACACGTATGGGATCGTTTTGCTAGCGAGCCCAGTTGATTAACCAGCGATTCCATTCCAACGTGATTCCTTCTAAATAAAAGGAATTGAGATGAACAGCTGATCTTGGGCAATAAGAAAATCAAAATATTGTTTCACTTGGTAAATCCATCCCGTTGCGTTTTCCTCGGCGACTTTTGGAATTTGTTTTTTGAGGTTTGTAGTTGAGATCGTAGGGTTTGGAATTGCGCGTGTTGTAGATATAGTTATTTTTTGCTTGATTGGTTAATGTTTCTCTCACAACAAGAGGTTGACATCATTTTCGAGTTTGGAAGAGGCCCTTAGAGCTCGAAGCTTTGTGAGGATAACTTGGGGGTGTCGTGTATTTGGTCGAAATTTGATTTGTGTCGAGCTAGAATTTCTACAAACTCAGCACGAAATTCAACATCTGATTTGTTACGCACCTCCATAGAACGTAGCAGCTCTGATACCATTGTTACATGGTAATTTGAGCAAAGAGACATAGTTTGAGAATTAAGAAGAAATCAAAAAATATTAGGAGAATTAGGAGAAGACAAGGAAGATAATTTGCTTGATAATACTCGTTACTTCTTATCCGCACATTTACATAATTTATACTAGTTAATAATAGAAATATAACTACCCACTAAAAGTACGGAGTACGTGCTTCGAAATTTCAAGTGCAAGCTACTCTTGCAACTAATACCTATTTTCATGCAATTAATTGAAAATTACCCACTACACTTAATTTGACTAATTCTTTCCACTAATTTAATAATTATTTGTATCATAACACATATCTCAATTAAGTTAAGTTAATGTGATATCTATATTACTATGATACCATATGCCAAATCAATACTAATCCGGTTAAAGCGACTCAAAGATTCCTCTACCACAATTTTAATTATAAGATTTTTCAGGTTTCGGACCAAGGTAGCCTATGCGGCAACATCGGTATAGAAAGGCATAGGGTATTTTTATTGTAAACTCGTACCACGATAGCTTTTGTTGCTACAATGGTACTTATTGGAAATATAGGCCCAAATGAGTTAATAACTCTGGGCCCAAATCCACCCACCATGCAGCCCATTCACCAAGGAATCAGCTCACGAGTTTAAAGCCCAAGTGTGTGGGCTCTAGGATTTAATCTTGTCCATTAAATCCTATTGAGAGATCCTGACCGTTGGTCTGAAATATAAATATGTTCTTACTCTCTTCTCTCTCCAGCCCTTACCCTAAACACACCAGCCGCTACTTCCTCTTCTCTCTCGGTTCTGGTGAGATTTTTTCGCTGAAATTCTCGGCTATTCTCTCTTCATTTTCTTCTGAGCTTTGGTTATGGTTGGGATTATTAAAACCTTCTCTTCGTGTTTTCAAAAAGGTACGAAACTATTTTTTCCGAAGCACATAAGTCCGTTTTTTTCAAAATCGTTCGTTTCTTTCCTTTTCTCTTGCTTCATGATCTGGGTTGAGGGAGTTCTGTGTCTGAGTGACTGAAAAATGGACATTTGATTGTTGTGTGCTTTTTTCTTCTCTGGGCAGTAGCTGGTTTCATTTCGGGTGTTGGGGTATGTGTGACTTAGGGTTGGAGGCAGAGGATTTTGGAACGTTGGGCTTGATTCCGGTGAGTGTTTGGAGGCAGCCAGACGAGTCTTGGACGTGGACGATCGGAAACAGAGGACTGAGCCGGATCTACATCTTCAAGACAGATTTGTTTACGAATCTGTCGGGTTAGCTAGTTTATTCTTATAATGTGTAATTTTATTATTATTGAATATTTAGAATTACTTTGTACTCCCAAATCCTTTTTCTCATAGGATTTATTATTATGTATTCATTTGATTTTATGGTTTGTAATCCTATTGAGTTCTACGGGTACCAAACAGTACCGAATGATTGCACACAATATCTGACTTCAACCTGATTTTGACCATTTTCTCATTCAAATTTTGGAAACGTCCAACAATCAATATTATAGCTCAACAGGTTATATTTCAAACGCTACTTGAACCAGGTCATTTTGATGTCAGAATGCAAGATATGTGATCAAAATGTTGATTGTGTCTCTGAACTTGCATTTATCACCCATTATACATTCATTGGTATTCTGATAAGCTTTTTAAATAAATTTGGTATGGTTTTGATTTGAGCTATATTAAATTGTAGTGGTTCTGATATTACATGTTTTCAAGGATACCGCTCCACTGCCATCCCTATTTAAGAGTAGGGTTGTTCATGGGTCTTGTCGGTTGAATATCGGCCGATTATCGGCCCGACCCGACCAACCGACTATTGCAAAAATGTAAAACCGTTATCGGCCCGACTATTATGAGTCGGGTAACGGTAGGCAACCGACTTTGTCGGTTGCCGAAATAGTTCGGTTGCAAATTATCGGCCACAGTAAAATTAAAAAAAAAAAGAAAAAAAAATCTGATTTTTTGCTTAGCCTGATTAAAATTCATCCCCTAACAATTATAAAACTATATCCCAAAATCAAGTAAACTACATCCCGAAATCAAGTTTCAAATTACAGAGTTCAAATTCATAAAACAATACAAAACACAAAAATATAAAACAAATCCAGGAATATCAGTATACTAAACACCAAAATCAAATTTCACAGTCATACAACTCCCAAGATAATAAACTATAAATCTTGAGTTAAATCAATCCACCTCTTCGTCGAATACCCCAATAAAATGTCTCAATTCTTCAAGAATGAGTACGCACCTATCACAAAAAAAAAAAAAAAAAAAAAAAAAAAAAAAAAAAAAACAAAAAACAAAAAACACACACACACACTATATTCATTAAATAATTGAGAAAAACTTCTAAGTTAAAAACTCATACATTAGTACTCTAACAAAATATATAGAATCTCAAATATTTAAAAGATTTGATACAAGGCTTACCCACATATTTAGACGGTTGATGTTGAAGCTTGGGTGGATGAACGAGGTGCACTAGGCATTTCTTGGAGATTCTGAGTTGATAGAGCTTCTACAATTTTAGAAGTCAAATTATAAAATTAGAAAATTGTTGAAATAAAAATAAAAATAAATCTAAAATATACAAGTATTAGAATTTTATCACCTTTTTCAAGTTCCTCTAAAGTTGAATAAAGTTCCATTTCAATTTCAGTTGGATCCTTGTAGTAACTAAATCCATCACCCTTGAGCCAATCATTTGTGCAAACCAATGCCTCAACCGTCCTAGGTGTTAAACGACTCCTAAAAGGATCTACAACTCGTGAGCCTAAACTAAATGCACATTCAGAAGCAACACTAGAAACCGGCATTGCAAATACATCTTTGGCAATTTTTGCCAATATGGGAAACCTAAATGACTCGGCTTCCAATATTGCAAAATCTTGAACTTGCTCTTCTTGGTCTCTAGGTAAGGTTCATGCCAATATCGATCAACCTCATCACTTAAGGCAACAATTTGACTCTTCTTCAATGATTGATAATATAACATATCGACATCATCTTCGTGTCCAGAATCACTACCACTTTCTTCGACTATGGGATCATCATCAACAGCTTCACCGTCAACATTAGATTGATTGTTTTTAGTCATCGTCAAACCATACTCCTTAAACATATCACGGAGCATTTGTTTTACTTGCGCTTCCAAATTCAGTACCATATCTATTTCCATCCCAATATTCTTGAGTTGAAAACTCAAGTAAGGTAACTTGTACCTTGGATCAAGAACCACGGCAAGATACATAAAATAATTTACTTTCTCCCACTTTCCCCAATAGAATTGAAATTTCGTTTTCATACTTGCCGCCACTTTGTGCAATGCCTCATCTCCTGATTTTTCCGTCTCCTTAGTCAACAATGTTTGGATATTCAATAGTTGTTTGAACACCAAGTGAGCCGTGGGTGTTTTAGAAGCACTTAACTTGACAGTTGCTTCATAAAACACTTTTAAGAAAGAGACAAACTCTTTCGCACTCTCCCAATCCGCGAAATCCGGGCACCTAGCATTATTGTGGTCCTTGAAGTAGTCCTGGTAACCCGAATCTAGAAGAAGTAGCATATTAAAAACCTTCGAAAATTTTAAAGCATGTACTAACATAAGATAGGTGGAATTCCACCTAGTACACACGTCTAAGCATACCATTGGCTGCCCTTCTATGCCTTCATCCCGAGCATATTCCCTAAATTTCTCCAGCCTTTGCGGTGATGCTTTTACCCATTTAACTGCCAATCTAATGCCTTCAATCGATTCATTTAATATTTACATACCAGATTGCACAATTAGATTTAGGACGTGACAACAACACCTCACATGCAAATAAGTTCCACGAAAAACGAGCCCCTGGCTTCGAGCAAGCATTTCTTTAAAAATATCAAGAGCCTTGGTATTGGCCGATGCATTATCCACCACGATGGCAAAAACCTTCTCAACTCCCCAATCACATAAACATTGTTCCAAAGCTTTGGAAATGGTATCACCACTATGGTTGGCAATTTGGCTGAATGAGATGATTCGTTTGTGCAAATTCCAATCATCATCCAAAAAGTGTGCAGTGATCGCCATGTAATTAATAGTTTGAATAGAGGTCCAAGTATCAGTAGTTAGAGACACCCTTACACCGCTAACCAAAATACTCTTGAGCTTTGCCTTTTCCTCGAGAAAATAACTCATGACACCTCTAGCAATTGTTGGATGACTAGACACTAGAAATTGGGCATTGAGTGATTGTCAAAAAGCTCGAAATCCAGCTCCTTCTACCATATTAAATGGAAGTTCATCTATGATTATCATCTGAATCAACTTCTTTCTTGCATAATCCTTATCATAGTGCAGTGGAATAAGTTCGCCTTTGGTGCTATTTGTCAAGACCGACTGAGTTTGATTGCTCTTATCCAACAAAACTGGAGATTGCAGACAAGCATTGTAAACATGATATCTCATGTTTGTTGTACCATAACTCATTGACCCACAATGATATTCCTTTTGTCTGCAATAGTTACAAACGGCTTTTACAGGCAAGACGTAGGAGCCATCTTCATTCATTTTATAGTGGTAGTGTTTCCACACCTCTGACTTCTTCTTTCCCGGCTTAAAAGTTGGTTCTTGTTGGGTTACACTTGCACTAGCAGTTTGAGAGGTCGATGTGTCGGTGCGTTTCGTCATTCTACCATTTAAAATATTCAAAGCATTAAAAATTTAGTAATTTTTTTTATAAAGTAATTAATGAGTAATGAGTAATAACTAAATTATGTACTCATCCATCTCTCTTGCACATACATGACACAACACAAAACACACGCACACACACATCAGTGACATCACAGAACACAAAATTTATAAGTCTGTAATTTTTAATTTGTAATTGGTTTGGAGAAATAAAAAACGTGATTATTATTTATAATTGGCAAAATAAAATGATGCATGCAATTTTATTTTATGTTCACACAATTAGTATGGAGAAACATAAAACCTAATCAATACTCATTCATATGTAAAAAAATAAATCAAATTGGGAAAAATGCTGAATTGCCCAATTTTAATTAGAGCAAAAAAAATTAAAGCCTAACCTTGAGTTTTGCCCTTTAGAGTGTAGATTGTAGAAGTCAGAAGGTAGATAGAACTAGAAAGGGCCAGAGGAGGAGAGTTATAGGAAGTAGTTGTCCACCGATGCTGGCGGTGATGGCCTGGTTGTGGCTTGCAAGAGAAACGCCGACGGGGGAGATGGTGGCTTATGACTTTATGCAGAGTTCTGTCTTCTAGTTTTGGTCGATAGATTTTAGAGATTGAAGATTAGGGTTTTAATATTTGCTAAAAATTTAGTGAATAGTCACTCAAAAGTCAAAGGTTAAAATAATGTATATTATATATAAAAATAAAAAGTCGGTTGGTCGGGTAATATCGGCCAACCGACTTTTCATCATATTAGAAACTATATCTAACCCAACTAAACATGGGTCGGTTAAAATTATCGGTCCGACCAAAGCGAATCGGTTAATGGGCAATTATCGGCCACAAAAGTCGGGCAGATAGTGGGTTGGTTGTCGGGTAAAACCGACCCATGAACAATCCTATTTAAGAGTGTTCATTTGGTATATTGTAGTACCGACCTGTAGTGAAATTTCGGTATGCCATTTTGTTTGACAAAATACCGAACCAAAGTGATACAGACAGTACAGTACAGTTTTTACCGAAATAAATTAAGAAAACTTGGTACGGTTTTGGTTTTTACCAAAAGAAAAATAAAAAATAAAAAGAAAGAAAAAATGTTTGCAGGTTACAAAATGCAACTTCACCCAAATCACACCTTCACAATAAAATTTACTCCCTAAAATCTCAACTTAAATACGAGAAAGGAGAGAAACTCCTAAAATAGCAGTTCCATCATATTAAATAAACCAAAATAAATTTTGTTGCATAAACATCAAAAGATTCGCAAAAATAGTTCAATATAATCCTATTTATTCTTCTAGCTTCTCATACGATCTAGGAAAGCAACTAAAAGAAGTTTATAGTTGTTGTAAACCATTAAGAACAGATGTTAAAACCAGCTTATACACCAAAGTATCTCAACGTTGAGTTGAGTTGAGTTGAGTTGGTCTCACTTCGACGACACTTCATCTGTCCTTCGTGTTTCGTTTCATCTCGTCTCTCCAAGTGTCCTTTGATGAAACCCTCTTCTCTGTTCTAAACTATTGGCTCGCTCTTCGAGTTCTTTGACAGCTGTCAATTCCCATTTAGCCATGTTCGCCTTTAAACCACTATATTGCCATAAAAATGCGTGAAATATGCAAAACGCATGCAACTACTCCTAAAATACAATATTAACTAAAATGCAACTATGAGGCCCCACGGCCAAGCGAACGGCATCACAAATACCCACCAATGTAGCGGCGAGTCGATCCCTTGCCCAGGTAGGATAATATAGGGAGGATGTCCATAACGACCATCAACCACTCTTTGAAGGAAACTATTAAATCGAGGCAAGGAATTAACGAAGTCGTATAGGAATTGGATCGGAGTATAACTTATGTTCGCTACTTGTTAAATTGCATTATCCTAAGAGGTCCCTTCAACTTTACCAATATAGTGCAGTATTGATTGAAGTTGGGTCGGTTGTTGTATCCAATAAGCGACACGACCATTACTTGTTGCACAAATAGCAATTCGTGTAAAAGAGAATTAAAATTCCAACACATATAAAGCGAAGATGAGTTGCGGATGAAGTCAGTCTGATGCTTTGTTCTTAGCCAGCTTTATCCATTTTTATTTGGTAGATTTGGGTTTATAGCCAATAGTTTTAATCTTATCATATCTTCACAATATATAATGTATCATACTTAAAAAAAAACAATTGCTCTTTGTAAATGAGCAAGAAATTATTTGCCTTAATTACCTCTAAATTATGAATAAACTATTTGTTGGAATTTTCATGGTTTAGTAGTGAATAGAGTGAGTAGAAATTGTTTGTGCTATGAATCGAAACACATACACGGCGTGTCGGCGTCGGTGGATCGAGTAGATTTTTACTCGTTTGTAATATTTGATTTTGGGTTATAATTATGTGGCCCAAACCACATAAATAAAATTTGGCCCACTATTATGAAACAAAATAATTGGTCCAAACCACATAAATAAAATTTGGCCCACTATTATTAAACAAAGTAATTGGCCCAAAACAAATATTCATTTTGTTTGGACGTGTGAATTGTGATAGCATGACGAAGGGATTAATTTTTAAAAGAGATTTTTATACATAAGTACCTGACCAACTACTTTTGTTATTTTAGGTTCGTGGATTTGACAATAAGCTCGTTCTTTTAACATATATTAAAAGTAAAGAAATACTTAATGTTTATAACAATACTATCCCAACTCTTTAAACTATATTCCTAATTTAACTCTAATTTCATCAATCTTGACCACAAAATTTTGACTTTTTTTTTCTAAAGTATTTTTTCTGCCGCCAGTTTTCAATGTAGATTTTTTTTATGTCTGTTTTCTTTCCACCGCCAACCGCGGTCAACCTTGTCTCTGGCGGCATTTACTCTTTTTTTCTTTTTTTCTTTTTTTAAAAAAAATCTGTTTTTTCTTCGCCGTGCCGCTAATTGTTGACATTAATATTACTGTTGTTGACAGTGAAATTACTGTCAACCACGTCATTATTTTGTGTTTGTCTTTTTAATTTCGTTAGCCTTGTTGATGGATCAATGTAATAATATTATTGTCGTTGACAGTAATATTAACTAATAACTGTCAACAATTGACGAAACTTCACAACACTCAAAATCAACAAAATTTCAGACAGAGATAGTGACAGGCCATAACTGCGAATGCTGCGAAATTGTAGACCAAAGCACCAAATAATCTCCTCTCCGCAAGCGCCTCTTACCAAAAATACTAGCCGCCGTCGTCGTAATATATGCGCACTGTAAAACAACCATAAGAACAGATTCAGAACTCCGACACGTACGAAATTACCATCACAAGAATAGCTCGACGATTGGAATCCAACGGTGGGTAACCTGTCCAATTCCGACAGCCATAGAGAAAGTTATGACTTCGAGAAACACTAGTGTCATCCGGAAAAAATCGTCGTCGTCGAAATAAACGTGCACTGTAAAACAACAACATGAACAAATCCAGATCTCCAAACATACGAAATTACTATCAAAAGAAAGAGTTCGACGAGAGAAATCCAATGGTAGTTAAACAACCGAATTCCGACCACTAGAGATAAAATTATGGCTCCAAAAAACACCAATGTCCACTGAAAAAATATCATGCAAAAACTTGGGTCCGAGAAAAAATGAAATACAAAAAGACGGTTGTAGTTGGCTAGGATTTAAAGATGACTCTAAACGGTAGAATATGTATTTCACGTGGCCCGATGGGGTATATTAAATTTTGAAAAAAGATCAGGGAGTATCACCAAGAGTATAATTTCCTTAGTCATTAGTTCTATATATTTTGTAAATGATGGGGTATACCGAATTATGCCAATAACAATTGAAAAAGACCTCTCCAATAATATTTCACAAAACAAGAAATCGTGTTTTGAAAGTAAGTAGGCCCTTAATTTCTCAAAGCAACTAATCTTTAGGACTAAGTTATCTAAATAGCGTAAATTACAACCGCCTCTCTGGGGCAAAGTAAAATTAAAAAAAAAATGGTTGCAAAGTTCTTATATTCACCCTTCTACAAAAGGGTGTTAATATAAGAAATTTATAAATTACAGGGAAATGATATAGTTAAGAAAAATGAGGAGTTTTTTCGTAAATACACGTCAACTGAAAAAGGTGGTTGTAATTTACCCTATTTAAATATATAGGAGAGCACTTTCCCCTCTATCGAAGATTATCAAACTTATCAAAGCAATTTCTTTTTCTTTTTCCTCTCTTTATATTTTCTTTATTATTAACAAATAATAATTAAAGTTTTGTAGATCATAAGTTCATTCATTGATACACAAAACGACCGGGTCCGGGTCACATGTAGCCATGTACTATTCCCATGCAGAACTTTTATTGATATAACAATTCATGCAAAAGTTAGTAACACAACAATAATAATTATTATAAAAAAAATTAATAAATAAAATGGAGAGTGGAGAATACACACATACACACACACACACACACACATATATATATATATATATATATATATATATATATATATATATATATATATATATATATATATATATATATATATATATATATATATATATATATATATATATATATATATATATATATATATATATATATATATATATATATATTGTTAGAAAGTAAGCCACAATTAGGTTTTTACATATAGTACGTTTTTGGAGAGACAAAATCACATGGATGGGGGAGAGGATATATATTGTATTAAGTGGCATGGCCCAAATGGATCCTGTATATCTGTCTCAATGTACCTTACTACACTATTCCAACATTTATATTAAATATTGTATTCATTGTGTTATCTGAATTTGTGCAGTCAATTAATTTAGTGTGGTGGAACAATGTATGTGTGCTTGCACACTTTTTCAATCTTATATTAAAAAACAAATTAAAAAAGGTAATATAGAAAGTTTGGGGGGTTTTATTTTGTGAGGGTATAGAAAATTGTTTTACTAAAAAAACCGGACCGGACTAGCTGGTTGAAGTGGATAA